ATATCCAATCCCAACACGATAGTGCATCTGCATTCGTTCATTCATTCATTGCATTTATTAGTTGGTGCATAAGCAGGCTTGTCTGGGCAATGCACAATTAGAACAATTTATAATCGCAAGTCTGATAGATCCAGCAGCACAACTGTAAAGCAAGACAAGTAATTAAAAAGCGGAAATGATAATAATTTCAGGCATAATAAGGCAACCAAGCGCACTGTAACACCAGCCATTTGTCATTATTCCCGTTTGTCAAACAAAATACCAGTTCAATCAGTAATAACTCAGCCTCCGGTTAATGAACACTGGACGGTCTTCTGGCATGTGTGTTTTAATGTTAATGTGCAATTCACTTCAAAACTTTTGATGATCTTTAAAACTGGTTTCTCCAAAAAGTTGCTGCTTCTTCTTCTAAAAAACCACACATATTTTACAACATTTAAGTTTCCTAGTAAAAATAAATAAGTAAATAAAAAAATAAAAAAATGAGGCCAATAAGATTTTAAAAATAAAATAAATCCTACCTAAAATATCCTGTTGAAAACATGAAGTATGATAAAAGGAAAGCCTTGCAACACCTTAAAGATTAAGGCTGCAACCCTAATAGTATGTACTCATATATAAATCCTAATGAATTCACAGGGGCCTACTCCCAGCTGGGCTGGTGGTGTTAGGATACAGCAAAGTTGCCTCTCCGCTGGTTCCTGTGGGTGAAGTGGAGCACAGCCGATGCCGGGGGGGGGGGCCATGCAGAGACTCAACCTCCAGCCAAAGCTTGTAGTGATCTACAGCTGCTCATCCTCCCACCTGCAGTAGCCAGTGGTAAGCCCCCAAAATGGGGCTTTTCAGGGCAGTATGCTGGAGGCTTTGAATCAGTGGGATCCAAAGACCTGTCTGCCCCACCCCAGCCGTGCCTGCAGTAAAGATGGATGAGAAATCATCTCACCACATTCCACCTTGACCAGCAAGAGTCAGCGAGGCTTCAAAAGCTGCACCGGCTCCACTGCTCCAGTCGACCCTGCTGGGAGTGCCCTGGCTGCTTTCTTTGGTTTTTGGTTGCCTTAATTATGGGTAGAATGAGTTTTCATAGGCTAGGTTTTGCTTCTCAGATACAATTTTCCAAGTATGAGCACTGAAACTCTAGCCATGTTTTTTTTAAAACAAAACAAAACCAACCATCCAAAAAAAATGTGATCAAACCAGACTATGGAGATGGAGATCTTTCATTCCCACTCAAAGGAATCTTGAGGTTTAAACCCAGCAGCCTGCTTAATGCAGCTGCAAAGAGATGCTACTTTGCTCTTAAGGATGCAAGACAAGCCAGCTGCATCAGGCCAATAGTCCAGCATCCTGTTCTCATGGTGGCCAACCAGATGCCTGTGGGAAACCAGCAAAAAGGAATGAAACACAAGAGTGAATCATAGAATCATAGAGTTGGAAGAGACCACAAGGGCCATCGAGTCCAACCCCCTGCCAAGCAGGAAACACCATCAGAGCACTCCTGACATATGGTTGTCAAGCCTCTGCTTAAAGACCTCCAAAGAAGGAGACTCCACCACACTCCTTGGCAGCAAATTCCACTGTCGAACAGCTCTTACTGTCAGGAAGTTCTTCCTAATGTTTAGGTGGAATCTTCTTTCTTGTAGTTTGGATCCATTGCTCCGTGTCCGCTTCTCTGGAGCAGCAGAAAACAACCTTTCTCCCTCCTCTATGTGACATCCTTTTATATATTTGAACATGGCTATCATATCACCCCTTAACCTCCTCTTCTCCAGGTTAAACATGCCCAGCTCCCTTAGCCGTTCCTCATAAGGCATCGTTTCCAGGCCTTTGACCATTTTGGTTGCCCTCCTCTGGACATGCTCCAGTTTGTCAGTGTCCTTCTTGAACTGTGGTGCCCAGAACTGGACACAGTACTCCAGGTGAGGTCTGACCAGAGCAGAATACAGTGGCACTATTACTTCCCTTGATCTAGATGCTATACTCCTATTGATGCAGCCCAGAATTGCATTGGCTTTTTTAGCTGCCGCATCACACTGTTGGCTCATGTCAAGTTTGTGGTCAACCAAGAGTGCTTTGACTTCCTGTGCTTTCTGGCACCTGACATTCAGAAGCATTGCAGCCTCAAGCTGTGGAGGGACAGCCTAGCCACCATGGTCAGTAGCCATCAATAGCCCTCTCCTCTGTAAATTTGTTGAATCCTTTTTAAAAGCTATCCAAGTTGGTAGGCATCACCAATGAGTTATGTAGCTTCACCATGCATTGCTTGAGATGTGTGGTGAGAAAATCCATGATCTGGGAAGAAGATGCAGATCAGCTGAAAATGCAATCCAATTGACCTGGATTGTTGGCTGGGTTTGTTAGATCATTCATAAACCCCAAAAAGTTTGTTAGATCATTCATAAACCCCAAAAAGGTTTTATTTAGTAATGTGAAACCCAATGAATACACAGGGAAGGTCTCTGTTCAGAAGTCACATCTCCATAACAACAACAACAACAAAAGATTGTTAACTGGTTTCCCCAGCCACTCTGGGCGGCTTCCAACAAAGTATTTGGTCTGTTAAACAGTAAAAGCTTCCCTAAACAGGGCTGCCTTCAGATGTCTTCTAAAAGTCTGGTGGTTGTTCTTCTCTTTGACATCTGATGGGAGGGCGTTACATGGGGGGGGGTGCCACTACTGAGAAGGCCCTCTGCCTGGTTCCCTGTAACTTGGCTTCTCACAATGAGGGAACTGCCAGAAGGCCCTCGGCACTGGACCTCAGTGTCCGGGCTGAACGATAGGGGTGGAGACACTCCTTCAGGTATACTGGGCAGATGCCATTTAGGGTTTTAAAGGTCAGCACCAACACTTTGAATTGAATGTTGCAATCACAGGACTATCAAAGCAAGTTGTTGTTGTTCCATTCATTATTTTGTCCACTGCAAAATGATCAACCCCATAAAACCATTGTCTGTATTTATATATTGCAAGTTGCATTTTAGAATAGGGGAAAATCTCTCTTTCTGCATCCTCCCCCAATGCTCTCCATGTAGTTGCTGTTGCCTAAACAAGACACAGGCCTTGGCAACACCTTGGGACCCACGAAGCTTATATTAGCCTACCAGCCGTAGAAAATGGACCAAGAGGAGCTTAAAAAGAAATCCTCCTTTTGCTTTGGAGAGCAAATACCTAGCTCAGTAGTGGAGCATGTACTTTCATGCAGGAAATCCCAGCTTCAGTCCCTGTTGAAGCTGTCGGAAGGATCAGGTGATTGGCAACAGACTCTGCCAAGGAAGCACTACCAGCCTGAGTCAACACAGTTGGCTTAGACAGGCAAAAAGGCAGACCTGGTAGAAAGCAGCTAGCTATTGGGGTCCAGGAAACTATGTGGCCACAATATATGGTTGGGGTTATTTTTGACATAGTGAACACCATAGCAAGAGCTAATGTAGTGTGTTGGACAAGGACCTGGGAAACCAGAATTCAAATCCCCACTCAGCCATGAAGCTCACTGGGTGACCTTGGGCCAGTCACTGCCTCTCAGCCTAACCTACCTCATAGTGATGTTGTTGTTGTTGTTTTTTTTTGGGGGGGGGTTAAAGGGAGGGAGAGAACCCTGTGGGCCACCTTGAGCTACTTGGAGGAAAAAGCAGAATATAAATGCAATAATCAAACAAACAAATGTCGCACAGGCCGGGGGTTGTGATTTCTTCTTGGGCTGTGGCTCAGTGGCAGATTATCTGCTTTGTACGCAGAAAGTTCCCAGATCCAATGCTCAGCATCTTCAGAGTAACAACATTTGGATGGCATCATATTGGCTATCCCTTACTTAAAGGCTTGGATCACCCAAGCATGGTGGACCATGGCTCGGTGCAGTGATGGCTTGGACATGTATTCCATCATTCATTAAATGCCGCTGACAGAACAGGAACTCACAACATTTTTATTTTATTTTTAAAATGGGTTTCAGTGGAGTAATTTCACACATTCAGCTGATAAACACCAAAGGCTGATTCACACATGCAAATTTACTGCATTAAGTGATGGGCTAAATGACTGGGTGAGTCACTGCAGACCAAATTATTCTATGTTACAGATTTAATATATCTCACAGAAACGGAAAACATGTAAACACACATGCACAATAAACAAAATGGCCCGTGAGCTCCAAATCAGAGAGGAAAATTGTGACCCTCCAGATGTTTTTGGGCTACAGCTGTCTTCATCCCTGACAGTTGACCATACTAGGAGGGGCTGATGGGAGTTGGAGTGCCAATGTCCGAAAGGCCAGTGGTTCCTCGGGAGCTAGGAGTATGGCTTTGTGTGTTGAGCAGTTAAGGTTACAATCCTAACGACACTAAACTTGAGGGTAAGCCCCTGTTGAAATCAGTAGGACTTGCTGCTGATGAGACGTGGTTAAGATTGTGTTGTATGTCTAAGGCAAGACCATCCCTGACAGAACAACGAAGGAGACCAAGATTTGAGGGTGTTTGTCAGAGGGTCAGTGTGCCGAGACTATAATTCCTGAAATATTTCTGAAACCTAATTTTCTCATAGAACGTACATACATAGAACATACATCCTGAAGGTCCCAGGCCACAGGGAGGTTAGGCTGGCCTCAACTAGAGCCAGGGCTTTTTCGGCTGTGGCTCCAATCTGGTGGAACGCTCTATCACAAGAGACTAGGGCCCTGCGGGACTTGACATCTTTCCGCAGGGTCTGCAAGACAGAGCTGTTCCACCAGGGCACAGCCTGACTCCTTCCTTTGGCAATCTTCACAGAACTTTAGCCTAATGGTTGCCATCAATTTGAGTTGAATTAATTTTATAATGAAATGATTTTAGAATGTTGTACTATTTTATTGTTGTTAGCCACCCTGAGCCCGGCTTCAGCTGGGGAGGACGGGATATAAATAAATTTTTATTATTATTATTATTATTATTATTATTATTATTATTAAAGAAAGAAAAGTTTAAGTCCAAAACACCTACCTAATATTTCTTTCTTTCTCTCTCTTACAGCGGGAACGACATACATATTTAGCAAAGGGGGTGGACAGATCACATATACGTGGCCTCCCAATGACCGGCCCAGCACGCGAGCAGATAGACTGGCGATAGGGTTCAGTACAGTTCAGAAAGAAGCCGTCTTGGTGCGAGTGGATAGCTCTACTGGGCTCGGAGATTATCTAGAGCTACACATCGTAAGTACCATCAGCAAAATGCAATGTTGCTATGTGTGTTTCGATTCCAGCTTCTGCTATGGCTATTACAATGCTATCCTTTCCTGAAATTGATTTCCTGCCATTGAGTAATGTTCTTTGGGTTGTTTCTTTTCTTTTCTTTTTTCCAAATGCGGTTAAGTGATTTATACATTTCAATCCAATTTTTGGAAGAGATTTTGGCATTGAGAGACTAATCCTATTGGTTAAGAGCAACATGAAGGATTTAAAACCATTTTAGCCCCGCTGACTTCAGTGGGATTTAACAAGGCTGCAGATTGGCTTCTGAATCACTTTGGAAAAACCGGGGCTTCCCTTTTGGCTACTGCAGTGATTTTTGACACCTGAATAACTTGACGAGTTATATACTTGGTTGTGGGGATGGAGCTGTAATTAAGATTCAGGCCTGCTTAGAATATTCCAGTCACTTGGTGCCTATGTATTATTTTTTCTTACTGAAAGCCTCACAGCTTTTGACAGGCAGGATCCTCCTTCCAAATCCAATCTGAAAAATAATGTAAAGTAACTGGATTCATTTCCCTGAACTCTTAAATGCCAAAGACTGCCCTGAGGTTGAAAGTGTTTCCATGCATGTGTGATGCATCCTAGACAACATTAAGAGGAACTAAAGCTCTGATCTGTGGTGAACATATCACATCCACACTGAAAAGGGATTTATTATTGCCTCACTGTGGGAGGGGGCTGTACCAGCAGATCTGAAGGAGGCGGTAGCATGCGCCTTCATCAAGAGGACATTCCTGGACCACGAAGTGTTTGACAACTGTTACCCAGTTGCTAATATTCAATTTGGAGCCAAGTTGCCTGAGAAGGTGCTTGGATGGGATTTCATTGTAGCTTCAGGCTTGATTTGGGGACTGAAATTGCCCTGGTTGATGACCTGTGATGGGTGAGGGTCACGTGGGCTCTAGATTTGGCAACTTTTTATACTTTTCTCCACTTCTGGACCACTGCTGGGAGATGGGGGCCACTGCCTTGCTGCAGTTCTGCTCCTATATCCAAAGGCATTGAGTGACTGTTGTTTGGCCCCCAGTGGGAATTATCCCATGGTTTTCTGTACAGCTCAGTCTTGTCACCTTTGCTGTTTAACATCTATATGAAGCCACTGGGGGTTGTCATCAGGAGATCTGAGTAGAGATTCCATCCATATGCTGATGGCCACCAGCTGTAGCATCAGTGCCAGGTGAGGCGGTGCAGGTGCTGAACCATTGTCTGGAGGTGATAATGGGCTGGATGTTGGCCACTGAACTGAAGCTGAATCCAGACAAGATGGAGGTTCTCTAGATGAATGGTTTGCATATATGGGAGCAGGCAAAATCGCCTCTTTGGGCTGGGGGAGGAGTCACATTTCCCTTGAAGGAGCAGGCATGTGGGTGTCATAACTTGTTGATCTCAGTGGCTATGGATGCCTATGCCTGGCTTCAGAGGGTGTGCCAACTCTAGCCATTTCTGTATGGCCATTTCTGGACAGGGGTAGCCTAATGATGGTCAGCCATGTTCTTGCTGTTGTAATGCATTATGCTGTTAGTGCAGAATACAGTCTAAGTCCAGTCCAAAATAGATCTGTGGGGGAAACCATCCATAATCCAGGATGCGTATCATCCATTTTGAGAGGTAACCATCATCATTGTTATCAGTGATAGTAACATATTGCAGTTCAATTTATATGAACGTCAGGGGAGGATATATTAGTCCCAGCAGATTTGCAAAGGAATCTGTCAGAGGAATGGTAATGATCGCATTTGGCTGGGCGCATTGTTAATCCTGATGAGAGCCGACTGATCTCGCCATTACTGTGCAGTGATAAATTTTGAGCAGAAAACACAGTTGTCACCCTGGAAAGTCTAGCTGGGCAATTTCAAGTTGCCTTAGAGCAAATAAGTAGCAATCACCATGGAAAGTGTCTGGATTTTTATGGCATCATAAATAAATGATCAGTTGAGATAAACTTAACTAGGGCAGCCGGGGATTTTAGCAGTTTAGATTAATCTCAACTTTGTTAATATATTAAGTTTGAGTTTGATTTAACAACCTTGCTGCTTCCTTTGCCGAGGATGGAATAGTTCCTCTTGCAAGAAATTACTTATTGATCTATTAGCAATTTACACTTTTACCCTCGCAAAAAACGTTCTATGGTGATTATTCCCAAATTGCATTGTGCCATCCTGGTGAATTATGAGATTTCCTCTATTGCATGCAACACTTCCCCAACCTCCCAAGCTTCTCCACATCCCTCACATTCATGCCAGCCTATTTTGCCTGCAATTACACTGACCAGCTGATATAATGGCTATAATTCAGCAACCTTAGGGGCAGCTAAAACAGCACGGCAGGACTTGGTTCTAAATTTGCTGTTGTGCTCAGATCCTGTTTGCAGGCTTCCCATGGGCGTTTGGTTGTCTGTTGTGAGAACAGGATGCTGAAATAAATAGGCTGCTGACCTGATCCAGCCCTTCTTAATGTTGCATGGACAATCTAGGGTGGTAGAAAGGTGGAGATTTCCCCTTTGGAATCTGTGGCTTGAATTGCCACGTGAAGTTGCACCATCTTAAGAAAATAGGAAGGGCCTAACAGCCTGCTTACACATTTCTTCAGAGTAAAATATCTGCATCTGAAGATGCCTTTATAGAGGGAAAGGGCCATAACTCTGTAGTAGAACACAAGATCTGCATGTGGGAGATTTCTGTTAAAACCCCTAGCATCTCCAGGCAGGTCTGAGAAAGACAACTGGAAGTCTATCAGTGGTTCTCAACTTGTAGGTCTCCAGATGTTGTTGGACTACAACTCCCATCATTCATTGCCAGCATGACCAGTGGTCAGGGATGATGGGAGTTGTAGCCCAACAACATCTGGGGACCCACAGGTTGAGAACTACTGAGCTAGATGGAGCAATGCTGGAACAATCAGCTACATGTATTGTCTTTTGGGACAGCCACTTGTCAGTCTAATGCTATATTGTCTGTTCTGACTGGCAGCAGGCCTTTGGAGTCTCAGGAAGAGGGGGCATTACCTGTCACCCGATCCTTTATTAACTAGAGATGCCAGGGATTGAATTTAGGACCATTTATGTTACAGACCACTGTTATACATTTTTGCTATGTGCAGTTCCTCACAGTGGCGGGGGAAGCTGCTCGGGCGCCTGGGATGTGTGCCCAGGGGTGGGGCGAGCTGCCCATAGGGGTGGGGTGCACCACGGGGCCTCCGGAGTCTGCCTGCTTCCTTTCACTCAGCTGCCCTACAGCTGGGGGGAGGCAGCACGGAGCCTGCGCACGCCCAAGCTACTGCATCTCTCCCAGGAGAGACGTGTGGGCCCCACAGTGAGTGCTGCCGGGCATTTTGTCACCCCCTCAGTGGTTACACCAGGGGCGAACCACCTCCAGCGCACCCCCCTTCCTCCACCCCAGATTCCTCATTCAGTATATATGTTTTAACAACACCGTAAACTTTTGTTCTGGAAACAGACAGTTTAATCAGAGGAATAAAAAAACAGACCTACACATATTACAAAGATTGATGTGAACCTAACGGAATCCAAGTTGATGGTAATTTGCTTCCTGATTGCTACTTGACCATTTGAATCAGCCTTTAATGCTAGACTAGAAACACAATTTACTTACCTAGCAATAGCCCTCCCAGATTAACCATTGCTAAACAGGGAACATTTTAAAGCACCCTGTCATTTATTACTCTTCCAAATCTTCAGCACAACAGACCCTGGAATAAAACCGATTTTTCTGAGCAGCGCCATAATTGTACAGAAGAACTTTATATTTCACGGGAATTGACATTAGCACTGATTTAAGAAAAAAAGTTTTGAACCCTATTAGCAAAGCTTCCAAAGTTCTCTTTCATCTCAAATTAAGTTGAATCTCAAATGAAAAGGCTTGTCGACACAGATTCCGAAATTATTACATGTTATGCAAAAATGTGTTTATGTGTTTATTTGCATGCATACCATTGGTTTGATAGTTTATTGAGGGCACTTCTGTTTGCAGTTGGAGAGAGTGTGGAAGTAAAATGGGATTTCTAGGCACAGTCCTAGTTAAGTGTCCCTTGCACATCAGGTTTCTTTTCCATTGTGCTGTATTTGATAGTCCAATGTTGTGGCTTACTAACTTGTTAACATTTTAGCAGAAACCACTGTCATGTGAAAGTATTTTCCCCTCTCTCTTTTTAGAAAATAATTCATTGGATCTTGAGCAACTTGGCCTGCATTAGAGGCCTCTGTGCTCTAAAATATTCTTGCTGCACATTTCCAGAATATTCAATCAATCAATCAATCAATCAGTTTGTTACTAGAGATGACATCCCATTAGTTATTGTTGCAGCAGGATAGAGGCAAACAGGGAAGTAGGCAGTATAACATTATCGGGGCCATAATCACACCCTATGTTTAAAGCACTATGATACCACTTTAAACAGTCATGGGTTTCCCTCAAAGAATTCTGGGAGCTGTAGTTTCTTAAGGATGGGTTGGAGTTGTAGTCCAACAACATCTTGAGACTCAAGGTTGAGGGACACTGCTCTAGCCTCTGCACAGCACTGGGCTACTCAGATCAGCTCCTTAAGGGATTCTGTAAATTGAAATTTAAGTGTCACCCTCTTTGGCTAATTCGAGTCACAGTGGACAGAGAAGGTTCTGAAAATAATAAAATAATTAGTGTCAAATTCCATTTGTGTTTGTCCAAGGCCAAGGTGGAGTTATATTAAATTCAGCAGCTTGCCAGTGCACAAAGCATTGCAATGTTAAAATCCAAATAACACAGTTCTATTAAGAATGGGGGAAAGGTTTGTTTGGCATCAGTGCTTTAGCTAGATGTGACAACTGAAGTTAGCATTTGCAATCCTGCCTCGGTACCTCTGAATCAGCACTGGAAATGAAATCAGATTATTAGGCATGGATAGGCACTACTTTTGCTGCCTACATTTTGCGGCGAGCAAAGCCCAGATTGAATTTGGGTGGG